AAAAAAAAAAAAAAAAAAACTTTTGGAGCCCGGTGTAGTAGCACCCCTGTAGTCCAAGTATTTGGTAGGCTGAGGCAGGAGGATCAACATGAGTTCAAGACCACCCTGGGCTCTATTGTAAGACCCTGTCTTAGTAGTAATTATAATATTTTTTAGTCCTGCCTCGTGTTGTGGGCCTGTAATTTTAGCTAGCTCAGAGGCTGAGATAGAAGAATTACATGTTCAAGGCCTGTGTGAGCTATAAAGTTGAGATTAAGACCAGTCTGTGCAACTTAATTAAACTCAGACTCAATATTGTAATAAAGGAAGGAGGGAGCTGAGAAAATGGCTCTGTGTTTGCCACAAGCATTAGGACTTGAATTTGATTCCTAGTACCCATAGAAAGTCTACTGTAGGGCTGGAGAGGGGCTCAGAAGTTAAGGGTGTTTACTGTTCTTACAGAGGACCTAGGTTCAGTTCCCAGTACCCACATGGCTACTCAACAATCATCTGTACCTTTAGTTCTAGGAAATCTGATTTTTCCCCCAAGACAAGGTTTCTGTGTAGCCCTGGCTGTCCTGGAACTTAGACCAGGCTAGCCTCTAACTCAGAGATGTACCTGTGTAGCTGAAGTTTTCCTGGTCCCACCTGGCTCCCTCGGTCCTGCTGCTGCTCGTACCCCAGTAAACACACAGAGGCTTATATTAATTAAACTGCTCAGCCATTGGCTCAGGCTTACCACTGACTAGTTCTTACATTTAAGCTCAGCCCATTTCTCAGCCCAACAACAATCTATATGTTGCCATGTGTTCCGTGGCTTTACCTGTGTGCTTTACATGCTGCTCCCTGGATGGTGGGCTGGCATCTACTGACTCAGCCTTCCACTTCTCAGAGTTCTCCTTGTCTGTTTATCCCCTCTATACTTCCTGCCTGGCTACTGGCCAATCAGCATTTTATTTATCAACCAATCAGATCAACACATTCACAGCATACAGAACATCCCACAGCACCACCCCTTTTCTGTCTAATCAAAAAAGGAAGTTTTTAACTTTAACATAGTAAAATTACATACAACAAAACAGTAATCAAGCAAGAATTAACAGTTATAATATCTAGTTGCCAACGAGCCCCACAAGGAGCAGCATGTAATGGGACTCAGGTAAAGCCATGGAACATGTGGCAATACATAGATTAATAGTTATGGGCTAATTTAAGATATAAGAGCTAGCTAGCAAAAAG